GTATTTTTATTTTTTTATTTTATTGCTTATGTCCACCATAGTAGTAGTGTCCTTATTTTATTATTTTATTGCTTATGTCCACCATAATAGTATAGATTCGGAACAGAGTAGCAGTTTAGGAAATTGCCTTATATTTTCTTCTATTTTTGGGCGTTGTTTTTCCTTTCCAAATCTGGTTGTTTCTTAGTTAGGTCTATAATTTGCTTATAAATATTGGATGTAAGCCTTAGGGCTCTTGGGGAGAGAGTTTTGATGATTAATATATTTTGAGTTTTATTACTCTTTGTTCTAACTTTGGTTAATTCTGTGTGAATCAACTTTGGTTGAGCCTTTAAACTCGGTATTCTTGGGGAATCAACGAGTCTAAAGAGGAGTCTTATTTCCGGTATTCTTGTGTGAATCAACGGATCTTAAGATTGTTACTATTGTTTCGATCAGCACTGCATCACTTTCTCAGTTATCCTTATTTCTTAGACTAACCAGCAATTTATAAGCAGAATTAATTTTCAATTTATTTTTATTTTTATGATTTCAATCTATCAATTCAAAATAAACTGCAACAAACATAACGCTATTTAAAAAATTTTAAATTTAAAATTGAACTTTATTTTTTTTTTAATCTTGTATTTTATTGACAAAGCTCCATAATATGTCCAAGAAGCAAGTACAACCTTAGCATATCATTTCGCAATTTTTAACCCATAATTGCCTATGCTTATGTAAGTTTGGTGAGAACACAAGTGACGGGGAAAATACCAAAAATATTTTATTTTATTGATAAATAATACAAAAAAATGTTATGTAAATAGATCAGGCTGAGACACAGATATCTTGTTTTCTTTAAGGAGATCAAGCTTACTACAGTAAGAAGAACCCAAATACCGATGCAGCAGTCACAAAACTATGACTTGTTCCCTTCTGGATACAATAGCCTGACTACTTGTCGTATGATTCAGACTAACTCTGCATAAGATAGTGAATCCAAAGCTCCATAAGAAAAAACACCCTTCTTTGGCTGGTAATCTCTCAAGTATAGAAAAATAGTTGGTGTAGAAAAGAGTAGATGAGAGGAACTATTTATAAGCCACTAGGACCTTACAATTTACTCCAAAATATAATAATGACCATTAAATTAGAGAAAATGAAGAGTCTCCAAATATTAATTCACCACCAAGTTTATGAACTCCAATTAATCTCCATTCATGAACAAGACAAAAAGTCACCAAAATAATGAATCTCCATTCATCAAACAAAATGAGATTCATGAATAAGACAAAAGGTCAAATAAAAAAATAAAAATAAATAAATAAAAGATATTAAAATAGTCCAACAATCCTCCACTCATTTTAATATCAACGTGGACAAGAGAGATCACCAAACAAATATAGACTAGTATGCATCATGAAGGTGTGCTCTGCATTGAACCTAGTTACAGGATCTCTGGTCCCTAGGTTGGGCATCCTCAAACTCATCCTTCTCGATGTATTCCAAACCCTATCTCTCGCCAAGGCCTTAGTTAATGGATCCGCAAGATTATTACAAGATTTTACATAATTCACAGTTATGATGCCATTACTCAAATAGGATCTTACAGTACTGTGTTTCCTTCGAATAGGTCTGGATTTACCATTATAAAAATGATTGTTCACTCTACCAATAGCAACAGTGCTATCACAACGAATTAACACAATAGAAATTGGTTTTTTCCAAAACAGAATTTCATGTTACAAATCTCTCAACCAATTCGCTTCTTTACATGCTGAAGTTAACGCTATAAGCTCAGCTTTTATTGTAGAATTAGCAATTATAGTATATTTTTTAGACTTCCAACATATAGTACCACCACCCAAGGTAAAAATAAAACTCTAGATAGAGAGAGAATCACCTAACAAAGTGTTCCAATCGATATCACTATATCCCTCAAGTACCACATGATACTTGTTATAAAACAAACCATAATTTTTGGTACTAGATAAATATCTTATAATTCTTCCCATGGCTAGCCAATGATCTCGATTTGGCTTGCTAGTAAATCTACTAAGTACTCCAACAGCATATACAATGTTAGGTCTAGTACAGTCAGTAGCATATCTCAAACTACCAATCATGCTAGTATATTCCTTTTGATTAATTACTTCTTTTTTCATTTGTTATAACAGAAAAATGTATGCTTACATTAAAAGGAGTAGTAACATGTTTACAATCTAGAAAATTATATTTCTTTAAAAAATTTTCAACATAATGCGATTGATCAAGAAAAATGTCATAATTAGTCTTGGTAATTTTAATTCCCAAAATAAAATTGACTTTACCAAGAACTTTCGTATCAAAGTGGTTATTAAGCATATTTTTAGTCTCATTTATAATATGCGAATTAGAGTCAAAGATAAGTAGATCATCCACATATAGGCTAATAATCACATGTGCATTCTCACAAGTTTTATAATAGATGCACTTATCACATTCATTAGTCTTATAGCCATTCTCAAGCATGCAGGAATCAAATTTCTCATGCCACTGTTTAAGAGTTTGTTTTAAACCATAAATGGATTTAGTTAGCTTATACACCTTGCTTTCTTGGCTAGGCTCCACTAAGTCTTCGGGTTGGTCCATGTAAATCTCCTTATCTAGATCTCCATTTAAAAATGTTGTTTCTATATCCATTTGATGAATTTTTAAATCATGAATTGCAGCCATTGCTATCAATAGTCTAATGGATGTAACTCTAGTAATCGGAGAAAAAGTATCAAAGAAATTAAGATCAACTTGTTGCTTAAAACCTTTAGTAAGCGACAAGTCTCGCTTTATATTTATCTATAGTTTCATTGAGTTTAAGTTTTTTACGAGGGACCCATTTACACCAAATAGTTTACAGCCTTGAGGTAAATCCACTAGCTTCCATGTTTTATTTGAAAGTAGTGAATCTATCTCATCATTTACAGCCTCTCTCCAGGAAATAGCATCAGGTGATGGTAAAGTTTCTTGCCCCGCAAGAGGAATTTCTTCCATATTGTAAAGATAATAGTCAAGGTCAAAATCTTTTTCAACTCTAGTTCGTTCACTCCTTCTTGGTTGGATTTGAAAATTTTCTCGTTCTTGAAAAACTTGAGATAGAGTAGAAGAGTTAGGCATGGATAAAATATTTTCAAAAATTATTTGACCCCCACTATTTTTAGATTTGAACGGAAATTTATTTTTATGAAAAATAGCATCATCTGATTCAAAAATAATATTATTTTTCATATAAAAAAATCTATAAGTTGTGCTATGCAACGTATACCCAAGAAAAGCACAAGTGGTAGCTTGTTCACCCAATTTAGGTCGTTTAGGATCTGCAAACCTCACAAAAGCTAAACAACCCCAAACCCTCAAATAACCTATATTTGGTTTATGCCCCTGCCACCACTCATAAGGTACAATTTTAGTCTTTTTGTATGGCACTCTATATATCACATGGAAAGCTGTCAAAATAGCCTCGTTCCAAAGATTTGAGGGAGCACCTGAATCAATAAGCATAGTATTTGTCAAAATAATTAACGTTCTATTTTTTCTTTCAACTACGCCATTAGATGAAGGTGAATATTGTGGAGTAGTCTCATGAATAATTCTCAGTGACTGAACAAAAGAGTTGAATCCAAGAGATTCATACTCCAAGCTTCTATCACTTCTAATTCTCTTAATCTTTTTACTGAATTGATTTTCCACTTCAAGAAGAAATTCTTTAAATTTGTCAAAAACATCACTTTTATTTTTTAATAAATATACGTTTGTATATTTAGAAAAATTATCAATAAAAGTGATAAAATATCGGTTATCACCACGAGTTAAAATTCTTTCAAGCTCATACAAATCAATATGAAATAATTTTAGCAATTCGGTATTTTTTTCAATACTTTTATCAGGCCTTTTGGTAATTTTTGCTTTACTGCAAACTTCACATTTCTCAAAATTTTTTGTCACTTTAGGAATTAATCCTAAACTACTCATGATTCTCACATATTTGCTATTAATATGACACAAGTGAGCATGACAAAAATTAATAGAAGACAAAACATAAGCGGTGTCATAGTAATAATTATAAAATTAATCATCTGTATTGTAGGAAGCTATTTTTGTTTCATGTGCCTCGTAGTCTTCATCATTCATGTCCTTGGTTGAGATTTTGTTTGGGTTCTTCTCAGTTGGAACATAAACAACTTTCAAAAGGCTGAGGTAAAAAAGAAATTTTCCTTTTTACCTCTCAAAATGAATTCCCTTGAACTTGAAAGGCTTGTTGAGATCTCCAATTCTATCAGTGGTTTTTTTTTCTGGTACTTGTTCCACGGTTAATCTCCTTAAAATTATTGGTGAAAATACCAGAAAAATTATATTTTATTGATAAACAATACAAAGAAAATGAGATACAAATAGATCAGGCTGATGCACAGATATCTCGTTTCTTTAAGGAGATCAAGCCCACTATGATAGGAAGAACCTAAATACCGATGCAGTAGTCACGAAACTATGACTTGTCCCCTCCAGGATACAACAGCCCAACCACTTGTCATATGGTTCAAGCCAACTCTGCATAAGATGGTGAACCCAAAGCTCCATAAAGAAAAATACCTTTATTTGGCTAGTTATCTCTCAAGTATAGAAAAATAGTCGGTGTAGAAAAGAGTAGATGAGAGGAATTATTTATAGGCCACTAGGACCTTACAATTTACACCAAAATGTAATAATGACCATTAAACTAAAGAAAATGGAGAGTCTTCAAATATTAACTCACCACCAAGTTCATGAACTCCAATTAATCTCCATTCATGAACAAGACAAAAAGTCACCAAAACAATAAATCTCCATTCATCAAACAAAATGAGATTCATGAATAAGACAAAATGTCAAATTAAAAAGTAAAAATAAATGGATAAATAAATAAAAGATATTAAATGGTCCAACTACAAGTTTTACTATTTTTGTGTAAGCGCCTCAGTCTCAGAGCATTGGCATGAGCACATATCTAAATCCGAAAATTTTATTTTATTTTCATTTCTGTTAAGACATTGAAATACAACTGAAATAAGGAAGGATCAAAATTTCATAAAGTAACTTGAACTAGACAGATTTAATTTAATGAACCAATTTTTTAAGCCCCATTTTGGCTGTCATGGATTTATTTAAAACAAATAGGTTGTAAGTATAATAGTAACTAGGAGTGCCTAAACAACAACTTTTAATGTTTGCCTTTTTGTTTGTTCCTTTAATCTGAAACTCGGATGTTTTAGTATATAAGTAGCTTTGTTGGTGGCATGCATGGCTCTATAGCTTCATCACTGCTCAATGCATTAGTGTTTTTTGACTCTCGAAGCCTCCTTTCATTCGAAAGTATTTTTGCAAACCTGTCAACATGTATCAACAACATAATTATTATAAATATTGATTGGGTTTTTATTTATACTCTGTTTATTTCAGTGAAAATGTTTTCAATATTTAGTTGTAATCTTGCCGATCAAAAAAAAAAAAAAAATATTTAGTTTTAATCTTGAAACTTAAGTGTTAGTAGTTGTGGTAGTAGTGACAATGATGATGGTGGTGGTGGGAGGGCGGTGAGGTTCGCGAGACTTATTCAAAATATATATTTTATTCTTTAAAAGTGAAAAGTATTTTGTGTTGCTCTTGTTTCCATAGAATATAGAAAATATTTTTTTGTTGACATTCATTTTTCTTCCCGCCAAACTCTAGAAAATACATTAAAAAAAATATGTTTCTATGTCGAAATAAATGAATAGTTATTTAAAACAATCAGCATTTATGTAAAATTGTTATGTTGTTTCTATACCTTTTCAAAGCATCTTCATTCGTGCCACTATTTTCAGTTGTCTTAGAGAGATTAATCTCCAAGTTTACCATTGAAACTGGCTTCTTCAATAGGCTTTCTCCAATTTCGACAAGTTTGTTCAAGTTCTCCTTTGTAGACACATCAACCGAAGCATCTGTCCCAGTTAATGCATCTTCCTGGTAATAATTATTTATAAGTGTAAGATGAATGTTAAATCACAAATAAATTGAAGAACCCAAAAGGAACATTTGTTCATGGTTTAGTAGATCCAAAACACCACGTGTACATGTCAAGATAATGTTTCAAATTTAATGAATATATATATTGTGACTTACTTGAATACGGAGGTAATTATCTTCAGAATGAAGGGCTTGAAAAACAACAGAATTATGAAAATCAATCATATCGGCACTTGCTTGGGTAAATACATCGAATAATGGAGTGGAACCACCATGAAGTAACCAATCTAAAACACTCCATTTAGCTGCCATTTTAGCATTGTATTTCTTTTCCACTTTTGCCGATCCAGTGCCTATCGATATCACCAGAAAGCGACCATAATCCATGGGCTTTATTGGAAAAAAATCTGGATTTTCATGAAATATTTGCTTTGTCACTTGGCTTATGGCCACTAAAGCCTGGAAATGAATAAACATAGTATCAGTATATAAACCAATCCATGAAATTAAATAGTTAGCTCAATGATTCATAATATTGAGTTTATTGCACAATGCTTATTAGTGTGCTATAGACAAAATAATTTTCTACAGAGATAATTACTAAGTAATCCTAGAGCACGACATGAAATTATTCTAAAATTATCTTAAACATCAACCTCAATAATAATCATACCGGATTGTTCGCAGCAACACCACCATCAATCAGATTGAATTCTCGGACATTTCCTTCACTGTCTTGGTTTTTGAAGTGATGGGCTGGAAGATAAGTTGGAGCAGCAGATGTGCTGATGCATATATCAGACAATCGTGCATCTAAATACGGTGATCTTTTCACCTGAAAAAGGTTAGAAATACACTAGTATTAGCACCTAATTAAGTAACTTGTCATCTCATTAATTTTTGAAAATTTTCTACACGTTAACTATAGACATTAATAAGAATTAAGAAAATTAAGAAGAGAGTGACCTCATAAGTGGAGAAAATCGTTGGCTGCAAATGCTTGATATCGAAAGTTGGAATGACAACATTGGTCAAGGTTTGATGCAATCGGATCTCTCCAAATTTCTCCCTTATAATCCCACGAAGGTATTTTCCGTTGTATTTGGGTCCTCTTAATAATTTCAACATGTTTCTGATTGATCGGAATAGGCCCCTATTAATGAAACCAAAACATGTTCATTTTCCACATGATCATGAAATGATCAAAATACCCACTTAATTTTATTTTATTTTTTTCCTGCAAAGACAATATTACAATCAAAATTACCTCTTCTGTGGAAAAATCTTGGGAGAGTGCTCGAGATAAAAATGCTTGATGTCTTTGGCAGCAAAGAGAGGACGACCGTTTTTGTTTGGAGCAGTTAACATGGCAGTCACAAGACCACCAGTGCTTGTTCCTGCAATCACATCAAAATAATCTGCAAGTCTTGCATCTTCCCCATCCAGCTCCTAATTAATTCAAGGTTTCATTATTTGGATTAGTAATATGTCGATATCATAGACAGTGAATTAGCAATGCCAAGTATAAAAAAAAAGGGAGAATTTTAGTGCCACTTATGCGATAATAAAAACTTGGCAGATTAAGATGGTAAGCTACTAAAGAGTTGGGCAAATTACACATCCCTACATTTTGTCCTTTGTATTATTTTAGTCACTCCACTTCAATTGGCTCAACTTTAATATTTAATTTTAAATTTTGTATCAATTTGAACCAATTGATAATGTCATTGGTATTTTTGACAAAAACTAATCATTGAATTGATTGAGGTTAACTCAATGAGTTTAGTAAATTTATAATTTTACTCTAAAAAATATAACACATGCCATGTATATGCATATTTTTTCTAAAAAAAAAAATGGTAAGAGTTGTAATTAATTGGACCAAATTAAAATAAAATTATAAATTTAAAATCAAAATCAAATCAATTAAAATTGTAAGAATTAAAATAATATAAAAATCAAAGTACAAGGAATAGTGCCACAATTTACCCTAAAGAGTTTTAAAATGTGGAATTAGTTTGTTTGGCTTTGATTCTAGCATTCAAATTTATATAAAAGCCCCGTAAAAGTCTTTTGAATCCACTTATTTTTATTCTGTGGTATCAAATTATATATCTATCTATCTATCTATCTATCTATCTATACTATTATAAAGTGAACACATAACTTTTATGGTGTCCTGAAGCTTTACTCTTCTCATGCCATGTGGCAGTACTTTACTCTCCTCATGCCATGTGGCAGTATTTTTTATTTTTTAAAAAAAAGTTAAACAAAGAGATGGGCAAGGCTTGAACCCATGACCATGGGTTTAAGTACGAGGACTCATACCACTTAAGTTAAATACACATTATAATATTAATTTCATTATTATTTTTTTTTATTCCTGCTTATTTAAATTGCACACACATCGTGTGTGCCACCCGCTAATATATATATATATATATATATATGCAGATTCGGTGAAAGTTTTTATGACACTACTCATGAATTGTAAGTTTCATGACAAGTATCATTTTCTAATGATCCGTTTAATTAGCTATATATTAATGAAAAATATAGAGTAAATTATAAATAAATCACTTAAAGTTTGCTTAAAATATGATTTGCACATTGTAGTTCTAAAAATTACATATTGTTCTTCGAAATTTTTATGTTCATAACAAATGGTACTTTTTGTTAGTAATCTATCTATCTTCTATCTTCTATCTATCTATCTATCTATCTTCTATATCTATCTATCTATCTATCTATCTATCTATCTATACTATTATAAAGTGAACACATAACTTTTATGGTGTCCTGAAACTTTACTCTCCTCATGCCATGTGGCAGTACTTTACTCTCCTCATGCCATGTGGCATTATTTTTTATTTTTTTTAAAAAAATTAAACAAAGAGATGGGGCAAGGCATTTTTTATTTTTTAAAAAAAAATTAAACAAAGAGATGGGGCAAGGCTTGAACCCATGACCATGAGTTTAAGTACGAGTACTCATACCACTTAAGCTAAATACACATTATAATATTAATTTCATTATTATTTTTTTTATTCCTGCTTATTTAAATTGCACACACGTCGTGTGTGCCACCCGCTAATATATATATATATATATATGCAGATTCGGTGAAAGTTTTTATGACACTACTCATGAATTGTAAGTTTCATGACAAGTATCATTTTCTAACGATCCGTTTAATTAGCTATATATTAATGAAAAATATAGAGTAAATTATAAATAAATCACTTAAAATTTGCTTAAAATATGATTTGCACATTGTAGTTCTAAAAATTACATATTGTTCTTCGAAATTTTTATGTTCATAACAAATGGTACTTTTTGTTAGTAATTCATTAAGTCAATTAAAGTTTTTAACTATTTTATCCTAAACAAATTGATCCTTATGTTTTTAATCTTACATTTTAGTTTTTCACAAAATATGCACCCGTTAAAGGAACAGTTATCACATTCTCCATTCTTATCTATGTTTCCCTCTACTTGTTTAAAATGATAATTCTGTAAAATACAAATTGTTTGCTTTTCAAACTATAAAGTTAAAATTTTCAATCAATTTCTTAAGTATTTTTAACTTAATCAAACGCAAAGCCAGATAATGTTTTTTTGGAAAAACTATTGCTCAGTGAATTCTTTAAAAATTAGTTATTGATTGGTGATAAAATTTATATCACTTCATAATTTAATACTTGTAAAGTTTATTATTACACTACAATAAATAAGAGTTTTAGAGATCAAATGTTTTAGTCTCTAAAAGTGAAAATTTTGTTACAAAAAACATTTCTATCGTCATGAGGATAGTCGTTAAAAGATCGTCCCGAAAAGTCCAAAACAAGGCTTTTAGCGACAAAATTTTGAAAATATCATTAATAAATAGACTTTTAGAGACAAAATAATTTGGTTTCAAAAGAATAATAATTCATCACTAATGTCTAATTTTTGTTACTAAAAATATAATAATGGCACTTTTCACAACCAAAATATTTGGTCCCTAAAAAATAATTTTGTTTCTAAATTTTGGTCTCTAAAACCTTTATTTTTTGTAGTGTTAATTTGTAAGTAGTTTTCTAAATATACACTGACATGTAAATATCTCTAAATTTTTTCATTCAATCATTATTTTTTCTCCTAACAACCATATTATGTACGTAAAAAAGAAATATATATATATATATATACATCTATATATATTTTAAAAATTGTCTAAAACTTAAATTTGTGCAATATATTTGAACCATAGTTAGGGTATGGATCATACCACGAATGAACACACATTTCAATTATATATATTTGCACACACACTACGTGTGCGTCCACTGCTAATATATATATATATATTATGTAACATTGCAACTTTCATAGTTCGTACCATATGTACACAATCTTTAAAAAAAGGTTAATACCTGAAACTGGGATTCAAGGTAAGCGAGGATAGTGGCAGGAATGATTCCTCGAATGCCACCTCCATCAATGCTGAGAATAGTTATTAAGTTCCCATTAGTTGGGGCCTGGATTTGACCTGCAGATTGTGCTACTATCGCCTCCATTTTCAAATTTGATTTTATAAAACAGGAGAATGTTTTTGTGTTTATTTTGTACAACGATCAAATGACTGGATTGGGAATATATAAGAGGAGCTCTTTGAAGTTTGATATGTTTGATTTTCACAATAAGCTAGGTTGCTTATTTATAGTCCTCTCCATCGAGTCTCAGAGAAACTTCCTTGTACCCTCCTATTATTGCCTACGTATGTTGTACTAGTTTATTACAAATCTTGAATCCCAAGAAAATTGCTATCAATTTTAGAATTTAGAGAATTATTAAGTTAATTACATCAAGAGTTTGTCTACTATTATTAAATATTACCTTACTCTTTCATCTATATTAACTTATTCATCCACTCTGGACTACCTCTAGAAAGAGGCATTTATGCTATTTTTAAAATTAAAAGGATCAATATTTACAAGTTGAGGGTCCAATGATATTCACTAATAAATAAATGAACCTAGGGAGTTATCATGATATATGCAATGGGATATTTTTGATCAATGAGACTTCGCAAAAAAAAAAAGAAGATAGACAGATCGATTTTATTTTTATCCAATTAACCAAGATGAGTAAAATTGATGTCACTCACATCATTACTAATATTTTTATTGCTTTTAAAATTAAAAAAAAAAAAATGTCTAGTACACGCAATAACCTGTCTATGATGGCAGGGATCTATAGTTATTGGCCTAAAGCAAATGCATCATATCATATGTGTATATATATTTTTTTAAAGTAGTATTTGCTTTCAATTTTTTTTTTTTAATCCTATGTAGCACATCTTTCTTTTTATTTTTAGTTTTTTATTTATTAAAATGCTTCATCAATATATCTTTTTACCAAAATTCTTTTTAAATTTTAATATTTAAAAGATTTCTACTTAATCTAAATTACATATAAAAGAAACCTAATAGAATTATACATACTAAAAATAATTTACCAATTAATTTTATTATACTTTTTTTCACTTTTTTATAAATAAAATATTAAAATTATTTCTTATTTTTATGTCTATCTTATTTATAATATTAATTATATTGAATTTCTCAAATAATTAGAATCAATTTTAATTTTATAACAATTATTTCTAATATCAAGTTATAATTTAATATCATATATATTTATTTAAGTTAAATTTTTTAAGCACGAAAGGTTAAAATTATCAAATGAATGTTTATTTTATTGTGTTATATTTTAATATAATTTAAAATTATTATATATATAGTTATGTAATTTATATTTTTAATAGTATGATAGAACTAAAATTATTAAAATATACACAAATAATTTATCTGAAATTATTATATGTGTTGATTTAAATACCACTTTTATAAAATGATATGACTAAGATTATCAAAATAAATAAATAAAAATATTGTTTATCTTAAAACTTTTTTCTCTCTCCTATGTAGCGCATTTCCTTTTTTTTCTTCTTTTTTTATTAAAATTCCAGATCAACATACCCTTACCAAAATTCTTTCTAAAATTTAATATTTATAAGACTTCTACATAATCTAAACTACCCATAAACAAAACTTAATAGAATTATACATACTAAAAATATTTTACAAATTAATTTTATTCTACTTTTTTCACTCTTTTTTTTAAATATTAAATATTAAAAATATTTATTTTTATGAAATATATATATATATATGTATATATATATATGTAAGTTACATTTTCAAAACACAATAAAGCTAAAATTGTTAAAATACACATACATAATTTATTTAAAATTAGTATATGTGTTGATTTAAGTAACATTTTTATGGAACAATACAACTAAAACTATTAAAATAAATAATTAGAATTATTATTTAAATTTTAAATTATTAATTATTTTTCTCTCCAATTATTAAAAAATATAAATAATTTAACTAAATTTTATATATATAAAAAATATTTTAAAACAAATATGTTTAGCTCGTGCATTGCATGGGTTAACTACTATTATATATATATATATATATATAAAAGTAGTGTTTTTCACTTGCATAAGTGACACATTTTGAAGGCTTATTTTTTTTTCTAAAAATTTAAATCAGCATATCTTTTTCCTTTACATATAAAATTCTACACAAACTCAATTTCAATTATAATAGCCAATTTTATATGGACTCTGTTTGAGAAATACTTATTTTTCATATATATAATTATAATTTAATTATTATGATATTTGAAAAAAATTATCTCGATATACAGATAAATAAATAAGACCGAATGTATTTAATTATGTGCATTGCAAGGATTAAATTAATTTTTTTTTATATTTTTATATTTTTTTATGAAAAAATTAGTCTAAAATCCCTCTCCCACTTTTAATAATGGAAGAGATCGACGATATTATTTTATAATGTCTAAAATTCCTCAATCCCATACCCATATATCACAGAGAAATTTGACTCTCTTCCTCTCTATGCGATCTTCATTCTAAGGCAAGTTCATTTCTCTCTCTCTCTCTCTCTCTCTCTCTCTCCAAACCAAACCCTCTCTCTTTCTCTACTCCTTTCTCTTCTCTCGGTCTTCATCTCCGATAGCACCACCATCGCCCCAACATTACCGTTCCGCCGTCGCCTCGTAAAGACCGATACAGACGGCGGAGCAAGAGCGTCACAGACAAGGACCTTGACGAGCTCAAGGCTTGCATTGAACTCGAATTTGGGTTTGATCCATTCAGTAATGGTATGTCGTCATTGTACTCGTTATTTTGTTTGAATGGATCAGCTTTTACCCATGGATTTTGGTCAAAGCATCGCGGCCATGTTAGCTACAATTAGCTCCAGAAGGTATTGGATTTATCTGTATGTATGTATGTATGTATGTATGTATGTATGTGGTTGGGTCTATATTTATTGTTTGTGCAAATTGGAATTGCAGTAGATCATTCTGTTAAAACATAGATAAATTTGTAAGCAAATCAGATAAATTTGAAAACACAAAGAAAATTGTTGCTGAAGATTCAATAGTAAGTACAATCTGACTTTGTGTTCATGAGCTTGATTGGTGTATTTCCATGCTTAAACCAGAGAAATTCTCTTATCTGTTTTTTTTAATATTTTTGTTCAATTTTCTCTGGTTTGATAAAAATTACAAATTTTCTCTATACAATTTTCTCTAAATAGAGCCATACAAAGCCACACAAATTTTCTCTACACAAAATTTTCTCTGGATAAAGTCACACAAAATTTCTCTAGATTTCTTTGGATCAGAGAAATTTCAATTTTCTTAGTTTGAATCTAGAGAAATTCTTTGGGAAGTACATAATTTCTCTGGGATTGAAATTTCTCTAGATCGATATTAAAGAACCTTAGGTATTATAAAAATATTGAATGTCCTTTATGCTATAAAATCTTAATACCAGGGACCCTAAAAAAAAATTCCCTTTCTTTTTTTTACTTATTTTATTGATGTTTTAATATTAATTTATATTTAATTATATATATAAGTAGTGTGTATCCTCAAATTTTTTCCGTCCATCTTTATTTTTTCTTCATATATTATAATATAAAAAAGTAGACTATTATTTTAAGTGCCCATAACATACCCTTATACTTAATTATTTCTAAAATCTAATATTTAAAAGACTTCTGCTTAATCTAAAGGAAAAATTAGCGAAACATCCATCTTCAACTTTATGTAGTAGGAGAGATCTAATATGTTTTTTTATTAGCTAAAGTCCCTAAACATTTTCACAGAAAAAATTTGACTCAGAGAAATTTCGGCCTTGACTTAGAGAAATTTCAAAATTTTTTGGTTAAATCAGAGAAATTTCTCTGTGAAAATTAAAATTTATCTGAGTCGGGCCAAATTTTTCTAAGTCAGGCAAAATTTCTCTGAGTCGAATTTTCTTTGTGAAAATGTTGAGGGATCTTAACTACTATGAAAATATTGTATGTCCCTTTATTTTATAAAATCTTAATATCAAGAATCTTAAAACAAATTTCCCTAATCTAAACTACCCATAAATAAAATTTACAATAATTATATACGAATTAAATTTTGTCTACTTTTTTTTATATATTTTATTCAAGTATTCAATTTTATATTAAAATTAAATATATTTCTTATTTTTTTTGTCTATCTTATTTATATTTTATTATTAATTAATTTATATTGAGTTTCTTATTTAATATGAAATTGTTTATTAGGAAAAATTATATTTAATCTAAACTTTATAGACATATATATAATTATATATAATATGTATAAACAATTTTAAAATAGATATTAAAGAAAAATCAATACTTTACATAATTAATTTATCTATTTTTTCTTCATCTAACCGCAACATACTTATATTTAATTTTTTTTTTATAATTTTCATTCCTACTTTATTTATTTATTTATTATTATTTCCAACTGAATAAAAAAAAATTAAAATTACTTTTAATTGTATGTTACTATTTTTCTTTCCAATTTAACTATTATTACTAATGTAACATTGAGTGTTTATTTTATTATATTATAATTTAATATCATATAAAATCCTTATATATTTACTTCAGTTACACTTATATAGCATGATAGAGCTAAAATTATTAAAATATACATAAATAATTGAAATAAAATTATTATATATATATATTTGTTTAAATAATATTTTTATAGAACGATAAGGTTAAGGTTATCGAAATAAATAATTAATATTGTAACATATTTTTAAAAATAACAAATATATAGACATATATAAATAATTTAATTTAATTTTATAAAATATTATTTAAAAAGTAAAAAAATAATCCGTGCACATTTAATTTTATAAAATATTATTTAAAAAGTAAAAAAATAATCCGTGCACAGCACGGGTCAACTCCTAATTATTTATAGCCTAATGCATCACGCTCACGCATACCGATTATGATGATTTCTTGTTAAATGGTTGATTGATGACTAAATACTATACTAATAATGTGTTGCTTATTTATAATAAGAGGTTCAATATATATTTTTTTATTAATTAAAATCTCTCAATAATATTATTAGAGAAATTTCAACGTGTTACAGAAAAAATTTTAGCTCATCATAGAGATTTTTTTTTGTTTGTTTGTTTGTTTTTGTTTTTGTTTTTGTTTTTGTAAAGAGCTAAAATTTCTCTTTGAAAA